AAAACTACATAATTGTATTTAATGAGCTTTATTATTTTAGCTCGTATTTACATTGAATAACTCTGTGGAGTCAGTGTGAATCAAACTCCATGAGAAACATTTAAACATTTAGACTGAACTCTGTATGAAGTTCTTGATGTGGCTACGTGGCCATTCAAGTATAAATCTACTTACATACAGAACAGTGGGTTCACAAATGTCAGGTCTGTGTATTGTCTTTAGATCTCCACTCCCGGCCGCAGTGTATGGAAATGAACAGATCACAAAAGTTGAAGCTGGTGAGCATTTTTATTTGCTCCTCTTTTCTTTACCCTTTAAAACTGAAATGTGTTTGTCACCAGTTTCTCCAAATGACATATTTTATTCATTTCAACATTAATTACACATTGTTGTTGTTTGTTGTCTAGGTGCTGATCAACCATTCAGTGTTTATGAAAACTTTTTCCAATCATTGCCAATAAAAGATGGTATGTCCACTGTCCTCTGTATCAACATATCTAGTAGACAGACATTATTGCTCATGGGCTCCAGTGCCTTAAAGCTCTACTCATTCCAACAGATGCTGATGACTACGAAAACTCGGAATTCCTAGAGCAAACTCAGCAACAACAAGAAGATTGTGAGTAGAACAGTCAGTGTTGTTTTTTTAATGGAGTATTAATCTGTAATTTACATTAAATTACAAACTCTTTGTAGCCTGCCTGAGCTGAAGTAAACTCACAGGCAATTATTACAACTGTGATATATATTATAAATCACCTTTCAAGAAGAGAGGTCAAAGGTTTATCTGTATAATGATAGATAGAGATAGTGATAGAGAGAGGGAGAGAGATTCTTTTACATCATAGTTTAACGAATCACTGGTATTTCGTGTTTTCCTTGAATACAGTGTATTGGCCTTAAGGTATTTACTGGAAGTGATTGTGAAACTTTGAAATCAGAGTTGAAAAACAGATCCGAAAATTTTAAAGGTTTAAAAACGAGTTAGTACAGTAATAGTGAAACTGCTGCTTTTTCAAACATATTAAAGCTGTTTCTTCTCCTTCTAAAAATATTCAATATCGTAATGTAAGTACCAACTGGAACGACTGAGGTAGAAAAAGAGAGAACATATAACTGCACCAGTGCCTCAGCAGAGGCCTCATGTACAGTAGTTAATGTAGTTAAACCTGCTGCAGAA